TCAACTGATAGGTAAATATTTTAACTAAAAGAGCTACTTAAAAATTGGAATTATATTTATTAAAACAATATTATATGTTTTTAGAAGCTAAAAAACGTTTAAAAGAATTAGAACAGCAACGAGAGAAATTGGATGCTGAGTTAAAAACCGCTCGAGAAAAAATGTTGGCATCAGAAGAAAGTAAAAACAATTTAGCACCTCAGCTTCGGGTAAGTTTAAATCAAGTAACCCAAACTGAATTTTATAAATTCAATCCATTTATAACATTTAATTTTTAAGGAACTTACAATATCTAGAGAAAAAAATAAACACATGCGCGGCAGACGTGCAATTTCTATGGTGTCGACTAATAATACTCTGGATTTTGAAAAGGATACATTTAGAGATGAGAAATCAAATAATGTTACTACTAGTTGATAATAATATGAAAGTATATTTAACATTGATAATAATGTATATTGTGCCAGTGCCAATGCTGTGAAATTTTTATTAGAAGAAATATATATGATATTGTTAATGTAAGTATATCAAAGAAAAAATAAACTCACTATTTTGATAGCATCTACTGCTTTTTCTTAAGATTTAAATTAAATATAGGTATATATGTGTATATTATTGAATGTTTTTCAGCCAAATAATCAAAATCGTTCGTTATTTGTTGAAAAAACGATTGATTTTTTAACTATTTATTTTGTAGAGTTTTAAAAAATATATATATTTAAATATTTTACGAAAAATTACACCTTCATATATACATTTTTACAATATCTCGCAACTTTTTATAAGATGCTGATATATTATATATTGTAAAATTATTTAGAACTGATTGACACACATACAATTAAGTAATTACAAGTATTTTATTTTCGAGAATTTGTCAAAAAAACATGCAAAAATATGTTTTAACGTCAAACAAAAAAAATCTAAAATCTAAAAACCAATAGTATTATGAGTGGAAATAATTTGAAAATAGGAACGCACTCCACTCTTCTGTACTATTATTAAATAATATGCCACGATAATAGTTTATAGAAGAATGGAAATAGTTCAATGTTTATACTTCACTTTCTTCTATTCAAAACTTATATTTCACTGGATAATTTTATGGGCGGTACATAAATTTGTTTGTTTGTTACTCTAAAAGATTGTACTCTCACAATGTTTATACTTGTTATAGTAAAAATATCATACCGGTATATAAATGAACTAAAAGTTTGTAAGGATAACCGTTTTGCTGTTCCTTATATTACCATATTCAATCAGCAAGTATATTGTAATTTTTGTAACAATTTTTCCGTATTTAACAGAAATATTATTTAAAAAAGGGTGTTAAGTTCGTATTTCCAATTTATATATATTAGAGCGGATCGGTTTGTGTGGGTCAAAAAAAGTCGCTTAAAAACATACGATTTTCTGGTACTATGAATCAAAATAAGATAGTTGCTGAAGAAACCGCTAAAATGAATTTTGATGTCCCGTGCATTGACCAAAAAATAAGAATTACAATTTTAAAAATTCTAATTTGACCCATTTAGAGTGCCTCAATCGGGTCCAAATGTATGACCGACCCTCACTAACTTTGGAAGGCCGATCCACCGATGCCCATGCTGTACCCCCTGGGACCCCCCTTGAGTGGTTTTTCAAAATTTAACCCTTATCTTTGGGTCATTGCACGGGACATTTAGAAATATGGTTTCTTCAGCAAATTATCTTATTTTGATTCCCAGAATGTGCCTAAGTGATCTTTAAATCGAACTGCTCTAATATATATATATATATATATATATGTATATATATATATATATATATATATATATATATATATATATATATGATTGTTCCTTTTCCGAACAGTAAATCCAATAATAAAAAACAATTTGTTTTTTGAAGATGTTTAATAACGACGTTTCGGAACTAGGTACATTCCATCATCAGGTTTATTCTGTCAAATACAATGTTTTTTAAAAATATTGATTAACATTAATTAATGATGGTCATTACAGATTAATTAGAAAAAAATATAAAGGAATGGATTATGTACTGGTGTAAAGAGTAATAAAAATTAACTACAAAAGGTTTTATATAAAATTGAGAAGCAAAAATTATTTACCTGTAATAATTTATATATCCATATCACTAATATTTTTTGTTAAAAACACTCGATTTTTTTGAGGATATTTGTAGATGTTATGACTTCACAAGACTAAAACACACTGATATGGAGTTCTGTCGGTCAGATGTAAGGGATATGTATGGAATTTAGGCAAGAATAATTTTTTATGGCTCTTGTATTGGTAATTTACGAAAAAAGAGGAAATAGTGCTTTAGTAAATGTTGAGAAATATTATGTATATATACATGCACACGTATATGCACACCTACATGCACAATTATATACACGAACATGTACGCAAGTACATGTATATAGTGTAAATACAAAAACATACATATAAGCACATATATGGATGTGCATATATTACAACATATATACATGCGTATATACACACAAAATTATTAAAGGATTAATTGTTTTTAATTAGGTTTAAAAAATTTAGATACGAGTCATGAATGATATTATGATCTGATTTTTTATTAACACAATTTGACAAATTCAAAAAGATTAAACTGCTTTCAAAAAAAAGTTTTTTAAAAGTACAATCCTCTCTATATAAAATATTGGGTTCAAAGGTAAAAATATGTGAATTTTCAATGGAATGTTGGACAAGAGTGCTTTGGAAACTTCGGCTTTTATGATGAGTGACGCTTAATTCATGTTGTCTCATTCTCTTATGAATGTATTGTGATGTTTGGCCAATGTATTGTTTTTGATAATTTTTGCAAGAGACAAATTGGTAACAAATTGTTTTTATTATTGAATTTACTGTTCGGAAAAGAAACAATCAATATATTGAAAAAATCCAGGACTTATGTATATATATATATATATATATATATATACATATATTACGTATATATGTCTGTGTGTGAATATATAAAGTGTGTAAACTTGTGTTTAAATCGCAATATCGTAATTGCTGACTAAACATCCCATATTCGTATGCATTTGCGTATCCCATGTGTTTATAATATACGAGTCCTCTTACAAATGAAACAACCGTCATGGAATTTGGAGACATATCCAGAATCCAGTCTACGGATAGAGAACATGTAAGTATCCTCCGCGGAATTAAGCTATGTCGGTTAATAGAATCAAGATGACATGTGTGCCGAGTGCGATTTCGTGTACGACTAGCAAGTAGTAACACATGCACGTAATCTGCTCGATTGTACACGGAAAATAATAATAATAGAACCAGTGGTGCATGGCATCGTATCTTAAGGCAAATTGTTAGAACTTCCTGTACCAACAATCAATTTTTTTTAAATTCACTTTTTTTTAGAACTTTGAAAAAAAATTTTTCATCGACTATTTCAACAGCAATCGATTCCAATTGATAGCTAGATCTGCTTATTGGTTTTTGGCAAAGGCAAGTCCAGCGGCTTCGGAGATATGAAGCAAAGAGCGCTAAAAGTGCCAGTTTTTTAAAGGACGGATTAACCGATTTGAATAATCCAAAAAACATTCGATTTGTAATGATGGGGAAAAGTGGTGATTAAATTTTGGCACAGGCAGGTTCAGCCGTTTTGGTGATACAGAGTTAAATGTCCAAAAATGCCAGTTTTTGAAAGAACTAAGCATCTGATTTGAATGATTTAAAAAGCTTTCTGTTTGTGTTGACAAAATGATTGCTTTTGGGTAAACAAATTTTGTTTAAATTTAATTTTTTTTAATTTAAAAAAAAACTATTTTTTTTTGGATATCGAAAACCAATTCGGATTTTAATTCTAATTTTAGTTAAAGTTCTACACATCACTTATAATACTACATATAATTATAACAATCTATTTGAAAAATTTAGGAATTTATGGAAAGTTCCAGCAATTTGCCGTATGGCACGATGCCATACACCACTAGTATATTTTTTGTTTAACTTAGTTAAAGAATGAGCAGAGATGTTTCCAAAATAATATAATAAATATTAAAGAAAACACATTTCTGGGTTAAGCAACACGCCATTCTTTGAATCTGATTTACAAATAATAAATTTCTTTTAAACTATATTATTATATTCTGCTGAATAAGCCTTACAGTCTTGATAATATTTATAATCCAATATATCCAATTATTTGGTTTCAAAAAACCATTTTAATAAAAATTAATAGTAATCATTTATTGACTTGTCAGGAAAGCAACTGCTATGTCAATTACTTAACCATGAGAAATGATCATAATACATTATAATAATATCAATATCAAAATGAAATATTATTATTTTATCATTTCTTGTCATAATAATTAAGCATTCGTGACGTTTTCTTTATAATATTATCAGAAATGTTCAGACTGCAATTCAACTGTAAAACTAATGTAATTTCCATGTACTATTTAAATTTATTCACTATTTTTGCGATAAGGTGCATAATATATTTCGCATTAAGTACATGTAGCATAACTTACTCAAACAAATATTCGTTGGATTTTCGAACAAAGAGGCGCTCGGGTACATGCAGCGCCATCTTCGCACGCTCCGTAGTCGCACATCTACAAGTTCTTTTTGCATATCTATGGTTTATGCCAGTCTGTGGAATGTCATTGCATAAAATCATTTTCTCATCGGAGTTGGTCAAAAAAACATCGTGGAATCCAGAGGGCCTCTTGCCATTTGCTGTCTGGAATATAATTTGGTATGTTGTACTAGTGCTAAGTACATTTCGCTTTGCGGATTCACTAGGATTTTATTTCGTGTTCGACAGTGTTGCGTCATACTTTGTTCAAGTCTTATTAGTGTCATAGACACCGGATATATTTTATTTCATAATGTCTACTGTTAAATAAAACTGTTTAGTTGGCCTTGTGCAATATATTCGAAAAGTGATTGTGATTTGTGAATATTTTGGACTCGGTCCTGAGACTTTCGGGAATAATATAATTTTATTTTATATTCACTATTGTTTATACAAATATAAAATACTATTTTTCAAAGTTTTTGCTCTAATTGGAAGACACAAAGTGAAAGTAAATCTGAACTACTATTTCATGTTTACTTTTATCATCGAGACTTTCGTGAGTATCTGTACAAATTGTTAAATTCTAAGTGTTATTTAAATCATTACTATCTTCTAACTCACTTCAATTTACAGATCTGACAAATTATGTACATTGGACCACAATCATTACGTCAAGAATTTTAAAGCAAAACTAGTTTATTATAGAACTGCTTTGTGTTCAATGTACTATTTTATCCACTTAAAATAGTCATTACAATTTGATTGAAAATAAAATTGGAGGAACTGCATTGCACACGAAGACAGCTTTGGTGACGTTTAATGATGTTCATCACAATTCAATACTAATTTCTGTATTTTACAGGTGCAGGTACGTTTGAATTTGTGGCATTTTGTGCAGAATCATTCAGTTTTCATGTCACTGTAATGCACTAATTGTGGTTTTATTGGAATTGCATTTGGTATGAATGTATTTATCGAACAGTGAATTTACTCAAGATATTCATTAATTGATACTTTTAGTTTTTGCTTTATCTTTTACAAATTTACGAAATCATTAAAGCATTGGCTTTCATGAATCAAATGACCATTTGCATGATTTGCATTCTTAGTTCTCGTATCTAATAATACTAACAAATACTAACAAACACTAATCCATTCTACTACTACTAAAATATAATGTGGTCGTTTGAATCTTTTAAGTCTATGCAATGTGGATTTGAAGTATTACATTACATTTCAATTTTTATTATTTTGAATTCATGTTAATGCATTTCATATAAAACCAAGTGCGATTATTAAACTGCTAGAAAATTCCCAGAACTATATTTCTGGGCATCAAGATGAAATCACATGAAAACCACAACGTATCATATCAAATAAATTGTTAAGTATCGAATGGCCAAGTAGTATCGAGTGAAAATTCAATTTACATTTATTTTATTTTATTAACCAATTTTATTTTATATTTTTATATTATATGTATATACTTTATTTATTCTTTACTAGATCTACTGATTTGTAACTTCATAATTTGTTTTTTAGGCATATTTGATCGGACACTGTGATTATTACACAACGGTCAACTGGAATGATACAATCAAAATATTTGGAAAGCATTCAAAGTATGAATAACTTAGAGATTTATCAAACAATGACATTTTTAAGACCATACAAACTTATTCAAGACTTATAAATAAATGCTCTTTGAAGGGGACTAAGAAGAAAGTTCAAGTAAGTGTCTCAAAATCAATATTTAGCTTATCATTATTTTCACATGCTGTTAATTTTTTATTTTATTTCATTGTTTTTATAAAATCTTTTTCATTCAAGATTGAAAATTCAAACTCTACACAGACCCCATCACGATGGATTGTTCGGTAACGCATAAACACTTTTATAAATTCTCTATACAACATCAATGTTTACATTTCTAATGTTTTTTCATTCCAGATCCTGGTTCAGCTGCCAATTCAAAAATGCAAGAATATTCATTCCGACTACTTTACTAGGAATCTCTCTAGAAACATTTAATCAGGTGTGTGTTTATCCATAACCAGTATAAATGCAAACATTGCTAAAATATTTCTTTTTTTTCTCAGGTCTTTCAACTTCTGCTGCTCTGCACACAGACTCCTTCACCAGGAACATTTAATCAGGTGCGTGTTTATCCATAATCAGTATAAATGCAAACATTGCCAAAATATTTCTTTTTTTTCTCAGGTTCTTTCAACTTCTGCTGCTCTGCACACAGACTCCTTCACCAGGAACATTTAATCAGGTGCGTGTTTATCCATAATCAGTATAAATGCAAACATTGCCAAAATATTTCTTTTTTTTCTCAGGTCCTTTCAACTTCTGCTGCTCTGCACACAGACTCCTTCACCAGGAACATTTAATCAGGTGTGTGTTTATCCATAACCAGTATAAATGCAAACATTGCTAAAATATTTTTTTTTTCAGTCCTTTCAACTTCTGCTGCTCTGCACACAGACCCTTCACCAGGAACATTTAATCAGATATGCGTTTATCCATAACCAGTATAAATGCAAACATTGCTAAAATATTTTTTTTTTCTCAGGTCCTTTCAACTTCTGCTGCTCTGCACACAGACCCTTCACCAGGAACATTTAATCAGATATGCGTTTATCCATAACCAGTATAAATGCAAACATTGCTAAAATATTTCTTTTTTTTTTCTCAGGTCCTTTCAACTTCTGCTGCTCTGCACACAGA